GACTAAAAAACGTAATAAAATTTGTATTAAATATTCAAATTATGTTTTTGTACAAATAGGATCGGGAAATCATGCGAGTTAAGCAGTAATTTTATGCACATGGACAGTTGTACATCTTGTGCATCTACACAGGATGCATTTGCACTGATCATGAATCTTATAGCTCTTACCCTGTTTTTTTTAGCCCTGACTAACTTTCGCACTGAGTTACAGGCTGCCATCCTTTGTGTTGGTCACATTGCTTTTTTAGTGCTCAAAGTGTTAAGTGCTCAGTTACACGCTGCCACTGTCTTTAGTTCCACTTGCTTCCAGTTCTGTCACTGTTGCTGACTCTGTCACTATTTCTGTGGTCCTTGCCTCTGCCTCTATCTCGGCCTGCATCTTACCAATGTAATTGCATTGTCTTGCAGCTCTATAGCTCTGGCTTGACATCTTTATCAATTGAAAGAATTTCACTTCCTCAAAGTAAAACTGACTCGCAACTTCAACAAGCCTTCATGCAGATCTGTCCCCAGTTTTCTCTCAGCACAAATGGGAGGTGGCATTTAATGCCAAAAAATACCATGTCATTTAACTCCCAACAAAAAAGATCCACAAGCGGATAGTGTTACATTCTGTAATCAAATTCTCCATGACTGGGGATAGGCCTTGTAAATGATCTTTGATAGGGATTCCACATTTTGCTGAAAATGTCCAAAGCAAAGAGGTTTCTTGGATTTCTGGACATAAGACGAAAGAGCAGAAGTAGGCCATTCAGCCCATTGATTCTCCTCCACCACTCAATGAGATCATGACTGATTTGATCATTCTCAACTCATTTTCGTGCTTTTTCACCATAACCTCTGATTCTCTTACTGATTAAGAACCTGTCTATCTGAGCTTTGAATATACCTAATAACACAGTTGTACAGCCTTCTGCAATAATAAATTCCAGCGATTCACAACCTTCTGAGAGAAGAAACTCCTCCTCATCTATGTTTTAAATATGCAACTGCTTTTTCTGAGATTATGCCCTCTGGCCCTAGACTCCACAACAAGGGAAAATAACCTTACTGCATCTCTCCTGTCAAGCCCTCTGAGAATCTCATTGTGATTCAATGTGGTTTCCTTTCATTCTTCTAAATTTTAATGAGAACAACTTACTCAATTTCTCTCCATAAGACAGTCCCTCTATGCTTGTGATACACCCAGGGGACTGACTGCAATGCCAGTATACCTTTCCTTAGATAAGGGGATCAAAACCGTGCACAGTATTCCAGCTGTGGACTGACTTGTGCCTTGTACAGTTTTAGCAGAACTTTCCTTTTTTTATACTCCATTCCCTGTGAAATAAAGACCAACATTCAGTTTGCTTTGTCTATTTCCTGCTGAATGTCTATGCTAGTTTTTTGTGATTTGTGCATGAGGACTTCCAAATTCTTCTGTGCTGGAGCTTTCTGCAGTCTTTCTCCATTTAAATATTATGCAGCTTCTCAGTTCTTCTTGCCAAAGTGCATCATATCACATTTCTCCTCAGTTTTTACTGACTTGCTTATCCCATCTATATCCTTCTGCAGGCTCTCTAGGTTATACTCACCACTTGATTCCCTACCTACTTTTCTGTCATCCAGGAACTTGGCTATAGTGCCTTTCCTCATTCATATCACTAGCTACACTTTTTGCCATCTTTAAATGCCCTCCTGATCCCCACTCTCTGTCTTCTATTAGGTAGCCAGCCCTCTAAATGCAAATCATCATTATCCACAAAGGATAGGGATATAAACTTCCCATGGATACCAAAAACACAGATCTGCACATACATCACACATACTGCAAAGGATTGTGATTGGTTTACTGAGGCACACTGGATGAGTCAATGGGAAACTAAAAAGCTGGGGCCTGGGACCAACCTCACAAGTATGGGGATCCATGGGGGGAAATCAGTGAATTATGAGTGTTTACTTCATCCAATGCATTGGGTTCTTACTAAGTAACAAGACATGTACCTTATCAATTTTTTTTTGGGAAATTCAAATACATTGCATCTACTGCTTCCCTTTTGTCTACCCACTTGTTATGTCCTCAGACAATTCTAATAAGTTAGTCAGGCCTGATTTCCCCTTCATGAAACCATACTGACTCTTCTTGATCATATTATGCATTTCTGAATGCTATTCTATTACATCCTTTACAATGGACTCTAACATTTTCCCAGTGACAATGATAAGTTTATAGTTACCTTTTCTTTGTCTCCTTCCCTTTCTAAATAAAGGTAGAGAATCTTTGATATTGCAACAAACGTATTTGTTTGTCCAGTCCTGTGTAAGATCTTTGTTGGGTGAGAGAAGTAATTCAGATTGAAGTGATCCAAGAAACGCTGCACAATTCCACACAAATCCATTTGTTAAATAAACTGGTGTCACATCCTTGATTATCCTTGACCACAAATGAAGCCCATTAAGGCAGCTATTTCATGCTATATGGATTACCTGAAGCTGCTTATTCATTTTGATTCCACCTGGTTGTGCAACTGGGATTCTCCATCTTGGCTTAATTCAGGATAAAAGTGGAAAGCGTCATGGGTCACCAGTTTCTTGCTCAACAGCAATGAATAGAAATGCAGCAAAAAGCAAGTACTTCTGTTTCATTGCTAATGGTGTAAGCTTTTAAGAATTGCTCAGGGGCTGGATTTTCTGCTCCCCCACTGGCCGGTTGGAGGCTGGTGTCACGTCAAACCTAGCAGGTGCTTCCCCTCCTCCCCAACAACGCTAAAATATCTGAATGGTTACATGAAGCAAGGGAGGTGACAAGTGGCTGGCTGACTCGTGGGCCTATTAAAGCCCTAAGGGGTCATTTCACCCTGGCTGGTATTTTGCTTATGGTGGGGAGAGGCCCATACCAAGCAGGAAGCCCATCAGCTTTAACTACACAACAGGCGTTGGGCCAGATTTACCTCCATTGGAGACCTCACCAAAGTCTTTTCACATCTCACCTTCACTGTGGCCTCTTGAACTGGATCTCACATGCCTCAAATCACCTCCCACTTCCCCATTTACCATTTCCCTTGGCCCCCAGTTCGGGACTTGTCTACCTGTCAATGGATCCTCAGCATTAGACACTGGAAAGGCAGGACTTGCATCTACGGTGGGGTTGGAAGTTTCATCTCAGGGCGATTAATGCTGCTCACATTATTCAATCTTGTGCAGCAGCCATCAGGATTGTGGTAAGTTTCCCACCAACCTTTTAGACAGTAGCTCCAGGGAGACAAACAGGAGACTGGAGGAACACAGTAAGCAAGGCAGCACCTGGGAAAAGGAGAAGCCAACGTTTTGGGTATTACCCTTCTTCATGAGGTACTGAAAGAGGGTAATACCTGAAATGTTGACTTCTCCTTTGCCACCTGACCTGCTGTGTTCTTCCAGCCCCCTGTTTGTCGACCTTGGATTCCAGCATCTGCAGTTTTTTTGTCTCTAAATAGGTCCAGGAACCCTTGCAAATTCTGTAATATTCAAGTGAAATATTCTGTAATGCTTTTGTTGAAAAATGTTATGATCCAACTATATTTTTGAGAAGAGAAAACAAAAGCAGAATAGGGCCAGGACACTGACATCAGTGCCCTGTGAAACTGCATTTTCTTCTCTTACTTTGTTGGAAAGCAAATAGAAGAACTTCATGGATTTTCTTGCAAAGTTTAATCATCTCTGGCCCACAGTTAAACACGACATTACACCGATTTATTGTTTAAATCATTATAAATCCATTTATTTTCACAGATTCATCCCTGTCGGGCAATCATCAAAGCAATTTAACACCTATACTCATCTTGTTTGCTCATTTAGCCAATACATTTAAATTAAAACTTGCTATAAAAATCTATAAAGTACCATACTCTCAACTGTACTAGATCATAAATCACATTGTATAACATTGAAAGTGAATGACTATGGAGCAATAGCTCCAGTAATTAACAAATCTGAGTGTTCAGTTTTCACCGAGGTTTGAACATAACAGAATCAATGATATTATTTTAGCCCATTTGTAATTTGTAAGCGCAGAAATTATATTAGTCAACCAACATGCAATGTTTTAAGTTCATCAAATGACCTGGTTATTCTGATAATTTATAAAACTAAACAAATAAACACAGTATGCCTACTTATTGGAAAATAATCATCTAAACAAAAGATGTGATAAACATGAACAATCTTTGTGGATTTAAGTATGACAGTATAAAAACATCCGTTTTACACTTTTAGTTGTAAAATGTAATAACTTGTTATGGTAAGCACAGTAACAACTATTTAGCAGTTTGAAGGGAATGTGACATGCCATCATTATTAAAGGCGTAAAGCTCTGAGTTTTTTTCCTCTCTTCCTTGAACCTGTTGGCTGAAGTGATGTCAGTGACTTGAACAATTGCATTCAGGTTATAAAGTCCAGGAACATTTACTTCCTTTCTGTTCAGAAGTGGCTTACTTCATTATGTAACAACCTTAACTTTGTGCACTGTTAAAATCATGTGTTCAAATGTTATAGCTTCTTCAGCTTCCTCAGACACAATTATCACTATTAGGACAAACATTAAACCTTCTTCCTGCACATCAGTAGTTCTATTTCTGTTTCTCTTTTATTGTTTAGATGAAAGAGATTTAATTATATAGCAATGAATGAAATAGTAGGGTTCAAACTTAGGAAATTAGCTGAAAAATCACATTAGTGTGAAGTTGTGTGATGTGTTACTGATTCACAGGAAACTGCTTTCTAGGACAAAGCTTTAAATTCCCACAGGACTTGTCAGTGATTTGCCCCTTCTTTAGTTAAGGTGAATGTGTAGGTGGGAAATAGCAGACAGGAAGCTATTTAATTATATCTCACGTTTCCATACCATACAAAACTGAGTAGCTTGTGAAAATTTGTATAAAATGCATTAGGCTCATATATCAACATAGTATTTATGGAGCTTTGAGATCATTTGTAAGTTATGTACAGACATTTGTATTCTCATTGCATTTCATTTTGCAGCTTTGGCTAACAGTCAAGAAGAATTCCTTTTAAATGGAGATTTTGTGGTCAGCATGTTTAAAAGGGAAATTAAAGTTAGAGGAGCTGTAATTGAGTATAGTGGCTCTGATAATGGAGTGGAAAGAATCAACTGTACTGATCGGATTGAGGAAGAACTGATAGTTCAGGTAAATCAACATACATGGTTAAATTCTGTGTATTATATTGTCTTTTGCTATACACTTTCACAAATAATTGAACAGTTTGTTTTTATGCTATATTCAAGGTTTTGTCTGTGGGAAATCTATACAATCCTGATGTGCGTTACTCATTCAACATTCCCATTGAAGATAAAGTACAACGATTTTTTTGGGATCAGTTTGGTCCTTGGCAAGATTGCAACAGACTTTGTCAAGGTAAAGTATATTGTAATTCACTCTTAAATAATCAAAGCATTTATTCCAATTTGTACAGTTTGTTGCTTGTTGATTGTTTTGAATTATGTTCCAGGAGATAATTTTAACTTATTTGCTGTTTTCCCAATTTATCATTGTTCTCTAACATGACATCTTATTTCACCAGGCGAAAGGAAGAGAAAACCTATTTGTACCAGAGAAAGTGATCGGCTCGTAGTGTCTGATCAGAGATGTGATCAAATTCCACAGCCAGCTCCATTAACTGAATCCTGCAACACAGACTGTGAAATACGGTGCGTACATTTCAAGAATTGTCTTCCTCTCAAAATTATTTTCGTGGTGATTATGAGATGACTTCTAATTTTCCTTATTAAAATAATATTAACACTATTGTATGTTCTATTTATTCACTCATGGGATGTAAACATCACTGGCTATATCTGTCCATTAATTGGTCTACTACAGTCCTCAGTATGTCTAAGGGAGGGTAGGTTGGCTGATACTTTACCCGCCGGCTCTATTATGGAGGACTGCTCCAGTCTAAGCATGAAACTGGTTGGCTAGCCACCAGTGGGCGGGGTTTAAAATTCTTGCATGAATTCAGTTTCCACATATTGCTGATGACACCCCTCCTCCAGACTTCTCCACTAACCTGAGTTGTCAGATTGCTTGTTCAACATCCACTTTCATATGGGCTGCCATTTTCATATTCGCCACAAAATTTATACACTCACCACCAGCCCTCCAAGAGCCTACGTTTCCTTTCACTTTGCATTTTTTTTCTTGCATCTGTCATGAAACGAATCTTGTCTAAAACAGGTGAGAACCTTATGAAAATACTCAAATCACAGTCTTGACTTGTTAATTGTGACTAAATGTAGACAGGCAATGTTTGTCACGATGTCTAGAATCCCCAGCACACTTCGCATTTGAAATGGAGTTGTAAATGTCTGGTAGGAAATGTAGCTATCAGTGTCCATTCTTACCAAAGAAATGTAATGATGTTGGTTGTCAGGACTCTGGGGAGGACAAATAACATGTTGTTTTAAACATTTAATCGGAAAAATGGTATCTCCAGAAGTGAGGCATCCCCTCCTGCCCACCCCTGTCCTCCTGGGTGGGTGCTTTGCCTTGATTCTGTGCTGAAGTCTCTGAATAGGACCTCAACCAACAGCCTGCTGCTGAGGAGATGAGCTGCCCCTCAGTGCTCATTGAAAATCATTTTCATGTGTGCTGTATCTGAAAATAAGAATTATCATTTAAAACACAGTGTACAGCTTTAGCGATAGATAAATATTGTAGGCAATTGTTTCCATCAGTTGCAAATGTGCAAAAATAATAAACAATGTACCATACAGCAGATAGCCAAAATAGTTTTAAAGATTTTTAGACGATCTCTTATGTCACTTGTCAGGTGGGACTTGAACCCACTGCGTGACATAAGTACATAACCAATTCAGTTCCAGCCTAGACTGTTCCAAGCTAATTAATGTATTATGCTGTTTACTCTCAAACAGATGGCATGTTGCCAGAAAAAGTGAATGCACAGCCCAATGTGGACCTGGCTATCGAACTTTGGATATTTACTGTGCAAAATATAGTAGATCGGAAGGAAAGACTGAAAAAATAGATGAAACATACTGCAGCTATCAACCAAAGCCAGATAATAAGGAAGTGTGTCATGGAGATTGCAATGTAGGAGGGTGGCAATATTCATCTTGGTCAGAGGTAAGCTACTTCCTGAAATGCACTCAATAAAGAATAGCTATAATGATTCTATAATAATTTGATGGAAAATATAATTACATTTAATCTTTTGATATTAATAGACACTGGAAACTGCATTTTGATGGAGAGCCATGTTTCCAATAATGTTCCAGAACATTTTTGACTTAGTTTTCTAACACCCATGAGCAGATAATTCATCTCAAACATGTCATTGAGTTGCTCGTGTTTGATAATTTCATTATTTGAAATTGCCATCCAGTTCTCATTATTCAAAGGAAAGCAAGTTGAACACTTTTCATAAATCAATTGCTCCATAAAGAAGTTAAATTTATGCAAGTAAAATGTGAATTTTAATCAGCATTTGTGTTTTGCAACAAAAGCATAATTGTACAATGTGTATGCTACTACCCTGCTCATCAGTACACATTTGTTATTTTGATAAATTAAGACAAAAGCACCATTAGTAGGTTTCAGTTGACTTTTTGATGTGGTTTCTTAAGCTTAACCTTGTTTTGAGAACAGGTCATTTATGTTTAAAGCATTTTACTGAAGTTTGTTGATGCACATTTTACCTAATTTCCAAATAACTAATGTTGATAGTGTAGATTAAATTATCAGCTTCTGAAATGCAGATTCACTGGAAAATTATGAACATAAAATTATGAACAACAAATTCATAATTCTTTATAGGATATGGGCATTGTTGGCAAAGCCAACATTTATTGCCATCCTCAATTACCCTTGAAAAGATGTGGAGATGCCGGTGTTGGACTGGGGTGGACAAAGTCAGAAGTCACACGACACCAAGTTATAGTCTAACAGGTTTACTTGAAATCTCAAGCTTTTGGAGTATAGCCCCTTTGTCAGGTAAAGTGAGAGAGCAGCACATAGACACAGAATTTATAATCAGAAAGATCAAGGGCAGAGACATCAAAAGATCATACAAATGGTGTGAGTGGAGTGTCAAATAATAAGTCACTGCAGGTGATCAAAAGTGTCAGATGGTGTGAGTAAATTGTCAACAGCTGAATAACAAGCAAAGGGATGACCTATAATCTGATTAATTGAGGCAGAGAGATAATTACAAAAAATTAAAATAAGGCGGTGCTGGAGACTAAACAAATGACTGGAATAACATGATAGGTATAAAAGTCACATGCCGAGGGTCTAACCAAAGTCATAAGTAATCCAAAACTGTACAAACTAGTTAAGGTAGAGAGATCATAACAATTTATCCAGGTGATTGTGTCAAAACGAGACAGTAAGGAAGATTTTACAGATATAGAACAGTGTGGTGGGGTCACACAGTGCGACATGAGCCAAAGATCACAGTTGAGGCCATCTTCATGGGTATGGAACTTGGCCATCAGTTTCTGCTCGGCGATTCTGCATCATTGCGTATCTCAAAGGCCACCTTGGAGGCCACTTACCTGAAGATCGGAGCATGAATGTCCTTGCATAGAATCCCTACAGCGTGGAAACAGGCCCTTCAGCCCAACAAGTCCACACTAGCCTTCCAAAGAACATCCCACCCAGACCTATGCCCCTACCCTTTCCCTCTAACCCTGCATTTTCCACAGCTAATACACCTAATCTACACATCCCTGAACACTACGGGCAATTTAGCATGGCCAATCCACTAGCCTGCATATCTTTGGACTGTGGGAGGAAACCGGAGCACCTAGAGGATACCCACACAGACACAGGGAAAATGTGCAAACTCCACACAGACAGTCGCCTGAGGGTGGAATCAAACCTGGGTCTCTGGCGCTGTGAGGCAGCAGTGCTAACCACTGAGCCACCGTGCCGCCCACTACTATCCAATGAACATGCCGAAGTGTTCCTCAACTGGGAGAGAACATCTTGGTTGTGTGCAGTGTCCATTCAACCATTATCATAGCGTCTGCATGGTCTCTTTGTCCTTTGTGACCTGACTAAACAATACCCCACACCAGAAGCATATAATCAGAAATATACCAAGAATAGAAATTGCCCAAAGCTGCCTCTTTCCATACATCTTCGATTAGATCTTTACATACAAGACTTTCTCCATGTTTCTCACGTGGAATTTGAATCCAAGAGAAGATTGGGTGTAGATTCAAAAGAAGAGTAACAATAATTCAAGTATTAGAGGTTTCTATGTACAGCTGCCTGTTCAGGTGAATAGCAATATTTGATGTTGTGCAAGATACTATTAATTATGTAATTATTTTGTCAACAAAATCAAGCATATTATTAATGTATGCATTTTTTTCTCTCTTTTTATTTTCCTCATGCACATTTTATAAATAATACTTAGATAAACGCCATTTTTGGGTATGGAGATCATGATGCATAATTATCCCATGCCCAGGCTCATTATGGCAGGCAGCACAATGGTTCCATTCTGCTGACTTACTTCAATGATCTGAGAGTACAGTTCAGCACAAAATATATTGCTGGCTATCTGACTGCTCAACAGGGACTGAACAGTATCAGTGGCTAGACAATGTACAGCTTGCCTGGATGTCTTAAAGGCAGTCCACACTATTTAAAGAGGAAATGCACTCATGAAAGAGAAGGTACTGAGATATTTTAGGAAGGCTTGGCTGAACAGTAAAGGGAGACAAATGAAACAAGATGCCAGAGAGAGGGATCTAGGTTTTGGATGTGGCATTGGAAGTTTTGTGATGCAGATGAAAAGGAGGAGTGAGGCCATGTTTTCAGTGAGGATGCCTTCAAGTCCCACACTGAGATGAGATGGAGCTGGGAACTGATAGCTAGGAAGGTCAATTCTGGGATTTGACCCAGAGGACCAAATTGTATAGCTGGAAAATATTCAGAGAACTCACACTAGTAGTCATGGCCATCTTCAAAGGTGATATGACATCCTTTGTCACTTTTTAGCAATCAGGACTCATAGTTAATGTTCAGAGGTTCAACCTTTCCTCTTACATTTGCTAATGTTACCAGGCTGACATCCACTTCTTGCTCCGTGTCTTCAGCTTTCAGCAATGACAGGTAAGTTACCCACACGTGCTGCAGTACACTCACTGATATTCTTCCCTCCATTGCTGAGCAGGGCACCTCATAATCACAGACAGCTACAAAGACCCAGTGAGAAAGAGACACACCTACCTCACCTCAGCCCTTTACAGGACACAGGACTCTGCATCATGTGGTGGCAGAGGCTATTATACCTAATGTCACTGAGAACCTTCAAGACTATGGCAGATACCTGTTTTTTGCATAATTTAAAATCCCTCATCATTCATCTTTTTAACTGGTATGAACTGCAAGCTGTGGATGGTGTGACTATGGGCTTCTTACTTTCCATTCGATTCCTCTTCCCTTACCCCATCTTATCCCCTCAGCAATATTGCTTTCCGATACCCAAGAACAGTCAGCTGACCCAGCAGTGCCCCCTCATCATGAAGGATGAGAGCTGCACCAGACCTCATTTCAGAATCACCCTCACCCAATTTGACACTTGCAGCCAACAACACAGATGCTTGCACTGCACAGTGTTTAGAGAGTAGTACAGAGTTGAGATCAATGCTTGGCACATCATTAGACATGAATGGGCTGCAGCCAGACCAAAGAGGAAAGGACAGTTCATGTGCCAGCTCACTCAAGGACGAGGTCACAGACGAGGTCTGCTGTAGAGGTCTCAGGTGTGAACTTTGATGGGGCAGTGTACAGTAAAATGCTGTTGAATATCTTCACGAAGACACTTGCTACATTTGGAGGCCTATCACAGACCCTCTTGTCAGTATTAAGGAGCATAGAGGAGTCCATTCCAAATTGGCACAGGGCTTTTTGCTCAACATTAAACCAAGAGCATGGAGGTAATGGCCAATTCCATGACAGCACTTGTGGACCCAAGGTTGGGAACCACACATTGGAATTGGTCCCAGCTCACACTCTCAGCTTCCACAGTAGTACAGACAGAAACTTCCTAACATCTCAGTGCTGCACTGAAAGTTCAGAGTGAGGTCATGAGTGTGATGTTTGTTGCTATGCAACCTCAGATTGATGACATGTAAGCTCAGACTGAGGCCCACACGGCTGTGGACGTCAATGCTCAAAGGGACTTTCAGGTTCTCCTCTCGGAAAATACCAGGATTATTGACATGTACCTCAGGTAATCCACCCATGCTGCAAGAAGTTGCATTCATATAACACCACTGCTCTGCCAGTGCTCCTGCTGTTGCCTGTCAGCCAATCAATCTATACTGCCACTGCCCCCACTGAGGGCGAGGCTGTGAACATGAGGTCCAAAGCTTCTTGAGGTCAGCTGGCAAGGCTAACTGCAGTCTCTGCCAGTGAGAGTCTTAAGCAATGATAGGATCTAATTCATGACCGGTGCATCCTTCACATGGGATGTTATTGCACCAAATATATCAGAACCATATGAGCACCAGGCTGTAATTTTATCATTTAAACAAACTGCAAAATTGTATTATCGTGATCTGATGGAATTCTTTTTGCTGCAGAACTACAATTAACTTTAGGAATTCACTACTAAGTTAATCTAATGTCTGTCTATTTGTGCAAGTGTTCAAAGAGTTGTGGCGGTGGTTCAAGAAGGCGGAATGCTGTTTGTGTCAATTCTATGGGGACTGTTCTCGGAGACAGTAAATGCAGTCAACAAGAAAAGATAACTGTCCAGCGATGCAATGAATATTCATGTCCTGTATGGAAAACAGGTGAATGGTCAGAGGTCAGTTGGATATTTTTCTTGATGTTTTCTTGGGAAAATTTGTTTGCAAAGTCTGCATTCTTTAATATTTTGTTCCAACTGAACTGCAACTTGATTTAGTAATGTAAGCCCACAATGTGGAATTTTCCTTTCTCATTCAACTGCTTACATTTGGAAAGATATATTTACCTTTGGGGTCCCCTGCTGGGCAGCTGTTGCATTGCATATTTGTAGTGTGTTGCACCTGCAGGGAAGATACTGGGCTGCATTTTGCCAACTTAGCTTTTAAAAGCAGGCAACCTTTTCTATCCCCACTGTCTAGAGGTGGAGGTAGCCTCCTCTCCTTTTTATCATCTGCAAGGTATATAATTAAGAATGCATATCTGGAATCTATGGTAAATTAAGAATAATTCATTATGTCCACTTTTGTGCCTTTCACCTTAGCAGCACTCTCACTTAGCCATTTTCTGCATTGAAAGTGCAGATTGCATGACGCCATCATGGCAGCCAGATCTCCCGCTGTGTACTTGCCTCCTGTGAGGTAATGAGTTATATGCACTGCTTGGTCTCCATTTGCCAGTTGGCTAATGACTGGTGGTTGACTTATTAATAAGTTCAATCAGCTTCCCAGCACTGCTGGCCACAGGTGGAACCCAAGACTTCTGAACTGCTTCTGTGAGTCTAAGAAACAGCCCCCTTACTTCTACTCTCCAGATCTGTCTCCAAATAGCATGAACTAACCACTTTGATTGGACTACAAGAACTGCCAGCAATAGCCTTCCTTTGGCTAGAAAGCTGGACAGAAAACAACAGTAGCTGAGACACCTCCAACCAGAAAGTCTTGTGATCTTAAGACTGACCTGATCAGTGGATGGGAGCAAATGAGAAACATCTGAGCAACATTAGCTTGGTATCCAGTTTCATCTTGATTTACACAGCCAGTACATTATTAGGTGATTAAGACAATGTGTGTGTAAGTGTCAATAGTATTTTTGATGCATTTTGTAAAACTGCTTTTTTGTTGTAACTGTTATAGTTAGCCTGGAAGTTACATGATCAATAGACCTGTAGGCCTATCATTTCTTATAGGCAGCCTTTATCACATAATTAAATGTAATATTTTAAGTAAAACTGTCTCTCACATTTTAACATAAACTTTAATTTTTTTAATAGGAAGCACAAACATAACTGAGATTGTAATGTCAATGAAAACAAATGAAACCCATTTTTCTTCTGTCAATTGGATTTCTCAAGCCATATTATAGTGGCAGTACGATGCAAAGACTGTATGATTCAAATGGAAATTCAATACCTTAGGGTCCCTTTTGTGTTAAACAATGCCTTGATGATCTTTGTTGGATTACAGAAGGGACAATGGAATATAAACCTTGCTCTTCTATGTACCTGATGACCATCCTCTTAATAAGACAAAACATAGGGTCACCCCCATTATACTGATGGTGTGCTTTGTCTGTGAGTACTGCACTCCTGTTATGATGGCACACTCTAAGTGTGAAAACAGATGAAATCAACATACTCCACAATTCCAAAAATTGTACCAACCTTTACGAAGGTTTAATTTTTTAAAAGTTTCATTTATTATTGTCAAATGTACTGAGATACAGTGAAAGGTATTGTACTGCATGCTAACCAGGTAAATGATACCTTACATAAGTACATCAGGGTAAATAGAACAGAATGAAGAATATAGTGTTACAGCTACAGAGAGGGTGCAGAGAAAATCAGCTCTAATATATGAGAGGTCCATTCATTAGTCTGATAACAGCAGGGAAGAAGCTGTTCTAGGGGTTAATGTTGATGTTATTATGGAAAAAGAAAAGTAATGCAACATTAATTTTGTTTAAAAGAACACTTAGATTTATATAAAGCCTTTCAAGACCTAAACTGTGTTCCAGCAAATGCAGTCCTTTTGAAAGTATATACTCTGTTGTGGGAAGTATAACAGCCAGTTTGCGCATATCTAACTTCCAACGTCAGCAAGGTGATAATACCCAGATAATTAGTTTCTGCAATGGTGATTGAGAGATAATGACTGGCCAGGACACCAAGGTCAACTTCTGCTGCTGTTGTTCAAAATAGTGCCAGGCAATATGTAAACCAACTTCAGAGGGCAATGAGGCCTTGGTTTAACATCTCAGTTAACAGATGGCTCCTCTGACAATAGTATTATGGTATTACGTTACAGTGTCAACTGAGAATGTTGTGCTCAAGCCCTAGAGTGAAATTTAAGACTATTACCTCCTGACTCAGAAGCAAGAGTGTGCTATCCTGTGACCCATGGTTAATAACATTTTTGTTTATTAAACTATCCAATCAAAAATATGTTTAAACAGTGGATCGTCTGCCCTACTACCTATGAGACAAACTAAAGGCACTTATATTGTTTTAGTAAATCTTCTCTGACTGTCAAAATGTCTGTCCTTACTTATGTTGGAACAGGTTTAGCTTTTCTCTGAGACTGTGTTTGTATCCAGATACCTTTTACTGCTGTAGATTATGTAAAATACAAATTAGAACAATGAAAACAGTTTGACATCAGTCATTCAAAAACTCCAAAGTGTTTAATGTTTATCAAGTGTTGCTTGAAGATGATTTTTAACCTTTACAATAGAGTGCAATAGAATGTGAGCAAATTGCTGGATATTTTAACTTTGTTTGGAACTGCAGTAAATTTGCTGAAATCCATAAACATTCACAGTGCATCTGTGTTTATATTTTTCACTGTATTTGCTTGTATAGAAAATCATTTCTGTACTGAAAGCTCTTGAAAAGCATGTTCAATCACTTATACATTCCAATGTAAAGATATGTTTAAGTCAGAAAATATATTAGTAGTCAAATTAATATCACTTATAGTGCTTAGTGACCTGTGGAAAGGGATACAAGCATCGTCAAACATGGTGTCAAGTTGGAGAAAAGCAATTAGATAATGGATTTTGTAACTCCGCAACTAAACCAGCATCAGCTCAAGCATGTCAACAGCAAGAGTGCGCAGCATGGCAAGTTGGTCCGTGGGGGCAGGTAAAACTTCAATCTTATTCATGCACTTTGTTCACATTTTCCAATTTAAATGTATTTTTACTGTCTTTTTCTTTTGGTGTGTTTTTATTTTGCACAGACTTTTGAACAATTGTCCTCTTGTGCAAGGAGAAAAATGATGGGTGAGGTATCTGCAGGATATACAGCAGATAGAGTATTAATGTAACTGGGAAAAAACAATTCACAGAACAGGGAAATTCATTCATTTCTGATTAGAGTTACAGCCCTTGCTAAGAGTTACTCTCACGAGTTGATAATGTCAACATGACACGTATAGATTTAACAAAGGCATATTTGCCTATTTTAAAAATCACAGAATAGTACAGCCAGAAATGGGCTAACTTACTCATAAATTTTACATCAACATGTTTCATACGAGCCAACCTGCCTAGTTGTACTCTTCATTATGACATATAGGATCCTGAGGAATCTTTACGGAGTAGATTTGGAGAGGATGATTCCTCTTATGGGATAGCCTAGACATAGGGGTCATTGTTGAAAAATGAGGGATCACCTATTTAAAACAGAAATTAGGTGATTTTTTTCCCTCAGAGGGTCTCAAATCTTTGGAACTTTTTCCTGAAAAGGCAGTGAATGCAGAGCATTTTTTTAAGACATGGAGACAGATTCATATCATCAAGAGGGTGAAAAGATTTAGGGTAACCAGGAATGAGGATTTGAGGTTATGATCAGTTCAGTCATGATCTTATTGAATGGCGGAGCAGGCTGGAGGAGCTGAATGACCAGCTGCTCTTTGTTTATACGTTCACCTCATTTTTCATTGCCGGTGACCCTTTTGCTTTAGAAACTAAATGCCATGTAACAGAATTTAACAACACTTTGTGGTAGTGAAACCTTCATTTTGACTTGCATCATGACAGATTTGTTTTCAAATCTTTTTATTATTTTCAGAGTTATTTTAAATTTCTACCACATCTTTAGCAATTTACCTCACCACAACTCTTCATAGTCTTGCAGATCTTGAAAAGTCACTCCATAACTTTCTCAGCTTGAATTAAAAAGATCTTTTAAAAAGTTAACATCTCACTCTGTTACATTACTGTTAAGACTGAGAAGGGAGGAGTGTATTGTCATTCTAGCCCCACAACTTCATGGTAAACAAAGAATATTATTCTCAAAATCTGATATGTCTACTCATATGTTTTCCTCTATAATAGACTTTAATCAAAAGATCCATCAATGAAGTTTCTTTAATGGACACATAATTATCGACTTAATCCAAAACATTCCTAAGTCAATATACGATGCAGAATTGGTTAACACACACAATGTGTGATATTAAAATATAAATGTTTACCTTTTGAAATAACCCAAACCGCTCTCCCTCACTCTCTCTCTTTTTCTCTTTCTCTCTCTCGCTCTCTCGCTCTCTCTCTCTCTCTCTCTCACACACACACACACACACACACACACACACACACGTGCAGAACTGGGGGCAATGGATTTCGTTCTGCAGAGATTCACTTTGAAAGGCAAAATACTTTTTGGCCAATGGTGGTCATTCATGAAGGCAGAAAAAGTAGTGAGTAGAATGTTTCAAAGTCTGTTGAGCTGGTGTTCTTGTCCATGTGGTCAAATCATTAATTATACACAGTTATCACTGGGATCATGGAAGATATTGTTTGCTCTGGAAATAAAACATAGAGAAGTTCTTTCAGTCACTCTTCCAGAGGAATAATCAGGTTTTGCACCAAATTCTCCACAAGACGGCTTCCAAAATAGGAAACACAAGCTAATCAGCTTGTTCTGTAGTAGGCTTTCTTTAGCTGAAAGATCTAAACACAAACTCCAAACCTGTCAAAACTGTTCAAACAGAACAGCCATAAAACCCAGTTGTAAAAATTTTCAGGTGTTTTCCTTGAAGTGAATTTAAGCAACCAGGACCAGCAATTATCTACAGTCATGTGACTTCCAAGGAATACTGTGAAAAATTTGTGTCTTTTCATTGACTGTCTAAAAATAGTCCAGACATCTTCAGAATGCTTCAAATTTGGGCTTGTAAAAAGTATCTTGTTAGAGTCCTTGCAGATTTTTCATTTTTTAAAAACTTCATTTATCAATTTTAGCTTAGAGCTGTGAACTGGAAACTGTGAGCTAATGATGACTTTTGAACTGTGGATAACAGCTTACGTTAAAAGGAAAACAGACCAAGCAAGCTTTTCTATATTTATGAGGCCAGGCCTGGAAGTTTATTGCTGATTGGTTCCTGATCAAAAGGTCTTGCAGATGATTTGTCACTGGGAAAGAGCATTATGTTTAAACAGATAGCAAAATTTGGCTATTAACAAAGTTAGTAAATGGGAATTGGTTCTAACAACTGGAAAAGACCTATTGCTGAACCAGATAATGAATATTGAATGGTAATTGGGACCTCGTGGAGGAGATGGTCAGTCTGTCAGTGAGTGCTGTCAGTTTGAATTAGGTTTTGGACTGTGTTTTCTGTGAAGATGAATCTGGCTATTGATGCTCCAGCATGAAGATCTAAAAGCTCCCTTCCTAACCTCCTGTGAGCAGCTCTTGGAAGCACAGAGAATAAAAAACTAAATTATAAGTAATTCTGCCTTCATCTGACTGAACTATATAGGTGACCCTGATCAACATCTTCCCAAAAATCAACAAAGATACCGTCATTTATGCCTGTGGAGCAACACATTATAAAAACCACTCAAATAACCTGGCCATTCGTTACTTTTTTTTGTCTATCCCTTAACTATATTGGTTTGTTTGCCTGTCATTTGTGTGCATGGGACTGGAAACAAAGCTGTACCTCAAGGATCTGTTTTGGGACCACTGCTGTTTGTCATTTTTATAAATGACCTGGATGAGAGCGTAGAAGGATGGGTTAGTAAATTTGCGGATGACACCAAAGTCGGTGGAGTTGTGGATAGTGCGGAAGGATGTTGCAGGTTACAGAGGGACATAGATAAGCTGCAGAGCTGGGCTGAGAGGTGGCAAATGGAGTTTAATGCGGAAAAGTGTGAGGTGATTCACTTTGGAAGGAGTAACAGGAATACAGAGTACTGGGCTAATGGTAAGATTCTTGGTAGTGTGGATGAGCAGAAAGATCTTGGTGTCCATGTGCATAGATCACTGAAAGTTGCCACCCAGGTTGATAGCATTGTTAAGAAGGCGTACAGTATGTTAGGTTTTATTAGTAGAGGGATTGAGTTTCGGAGCCATGAGGTCATGTTGCAGCTGTACAAAACTCTGGTGCGGCCGCACTTGGAGTATTGCGTACAGTTCTGGTCACCGCATTATAGGAAGGATGTGGAAGCATTGGAAAGGGTGCAGAGGAGATTTACCAGGATGTTGCCTGGTATGGAGGGAAGGTCTTATGAGGAAAGGCTGAGGATCTTGAGGCTGTTTTCGTTAGAGAGAAGAAGGTTAAGAGGTGACTTGATAGAGACATACAAGATGATCAGAGGATTAGATAGGGTGGACAGTGGGAGCCTTTTTCCTCAGATGGTGATGGCTAGCATGAGGGGACATAGCTTTAAATTGAGGGGTGATAGATATAGGACAGATGTCAGAGGTAGGTTCTTTACTCAGAGAGTAGTAAGGACGTGGAATGCCCTGCCTGCAAAAATAGTAGACTCGCCCACTTTAAGGGCATTTAAATGGTCATTGGATAATCATATGGATGATAATGGAATAGTTTAGGTTAGATGGGCTTCAGATTGGTTTCACAGGTCGGCGCAACATTGAGGGCCGAAGGGCCTGTACTGCGCTGTAATGTTCTATGTTCTATGTTCTATGTATTTGGGTTTATAGCATAGATGAATTAGATTACTTTGTTGTTTAATTTTGCTTGACTAAAGTTATTGTGTTGTTAATAAATTGCTACGTCTTTTGTTTAAGCTAAAACCAGTTTCAAGGATTGACTATTTGCAAAATCTGGGATTGGCTATTCAAAAATTCTGATTAGGAACCATTGGGGCCAATTTTGTGAGTCTTTGAAGGTTTTAATTTTACAGTATTGTGAATACAGAAGTAAGAAAGTTGATTTGGTTCAGCCATCTGTCTCCATGTTGTAATAGTCTTCACAACATTCCTCATTCTATTCGTGACTGTTAACCAATGGAAAAGTAGTGGTTTGAAGGTGCTAATTGAATAATAATATAATAAACATTGAAATTGCACTTTACTAGAATGCAGTTGAAGTTAGTCAGAAGAGAAGAAAGAAATGAACATATCTAGCCATTTTTGAAATGCATGTTGTGATTCATAAATAACACTGGAAACAATATTATGAAGATATTCTTTGCATTACAGCTGCTTTGGAAATAAAATTTGTTGTTGATACATAAGAGTTGGTTAATCATTTAATACTTTGATTAATCTAATACTTTACTAAATAAGCTGTGCTTTTAAATCATGCAACAAAAGGATTATTCAGCAACTTAATTGGTTTCTTCAAAACATTTCATTTTCATTTTTCTTGTTATATTCAAGGAAAAGATTTTTAAATTTCTATATATTGAAGGCATCAGGAATATGGCAGTGAGGGAGAGGATCAGCCTGAATCAAATTGAATGTTGGAGTAGGTTCAAAGGGCCCAATGGCCTCCTCCTGCTCCGAGTTTCTATGTTCCTTAATTACTAACCAATTGCATCCAGAATAATCAGCATTCACCCTACTTCTGTCATCAATGCCCAGACCTTGTAACATTTTATATCTCTTGTGCCAAAGTTTCAGCTTCACTGACCAGACAGGAATCTGGTAGAGCAGATTTCCCATCTTCTATTGATGTACCTAGTTTTTCATTTCACACTATCAGATTGCCGCCTAATTGGAAAAAATGATAACAACCGCTACCCCCCACCTCACGCACCTTGGCTCTCTCTCTACCTGTGTATTCAGGGTAGATTACGTTGCTGGGAGATTATACAGATCTGAGATGCCTTTGCCAGTGCATAAGGAATCAAATATTGCAAATTCAGAAAGATAAAACACATCGAATTTGGGATTTCCCTCTAACTTCAATTGACTTAGATCTTGCAATTAATTATAAGCTGTGATTTGAGAGGGCCATTATAAATATTTATAGTTCTGAAGAAGTCATACTGGAATCAAATATTTGACTGTTTCTTTCTTCACAAATGCTGCCTCATGTGCTGAGTTTCTCCAGCATTTCCTATGTTTGCTTCAGATTTCCTGCATCTGCAGTATTTTGCTTTTGTAAAGGTTTATTATACTGATACAGGTACAAATAGGTTTTCCCTAGTTTTGCAGCATCAGCTGACATGCTGGCTTGATAGTATATATCTGCTTTTGGCCTATTTTGAGGGGTCTGCTGGAGACAGAGTGACATTTAGCCACCAGCCAGTGGCAGGTAGCCAATTAGGCCAGTGAAAGTGTCTAATGAAGGCTCTTTTCTTATACTATCTATAATTTTCCAGACATCATACAGGCTGAGGCCAAAGTCTGTCAGATGGATTAAGGTGGCCACCCAGTGGTAGGTTTTCCCTCCACAATGTAGTTCTGACCACATTTTATTTTTCAAGTTTGTACAGGCTTTAGGTGACACCTTCATCTTAAAGCAACTTCTCTGTCTCCACCTAAATAAACAGTGCCCAGCTTTGCCAGAGCTGCTAATAATCAGAGTGTCAGCATTCTGGCTTTCCTAGAGTCAGTCCACTGTCCTTAGCTGGACTGGACTCCTGCCTTCTCCATAATCTCTGTCAGGGTTTTGTCAACAGCATTTCCATGTTACCAACCCCCATTTCATTCTGTTGGTAGGAGCAGGAATCTTATAATAAAAATCTGGCCCACACATTTCACTCTCTGACTTAGATAGGACTTTGTTTTCTAAATAGTTAAATAATATGCTACCTTTTTAAGTTTTAATTTTATTGCGATCCGGGAGAATTAACAACATACCGTCTTTATAGTGCACAGCGACATGTGGGACTGGCTATCAAATGCGAGCAGTAAGATGCATTGCAGGCTCGTATGGCACTGTGGTCAATGATAATGAATGTAATGCTGCCACCAGGCCTACAGATACTCAGGTAATTATTACGAACATCTTCAAAAAGTCAAACTAAACTGTTCTTTTGGTTCATTACTGTTTTTGTTATTCTGTATAAATTGGTCAGTGCAACTGAGAATTGAAAACATTTGTTGTAGTTGAAGTCCTTTGAGTTGATTCTAGAGGATTTGAAGAATACAAGCTTATTTTCCTCCTTAGCTAATTACTTACATTTTCTCAAAATGTTTAAAAGATTTGAAAGCACCTGTTTATTTTTAACCCTATGTTTTACATTGTAGGACTGTGATTTAGCTTCATGCCCTGATATGCATCCAGGAAGAAGAGAAGAGAGAATCCCCAATCATATGACCTACAGAACTGAATGGAGATTTGGATCCTGGACACCAGTACACAGATTTAATTTTAATATTGTCATTAAATAATATTTATCTAAATGATGAAGAAAATTGATTAAAGCATTGAATAACTCGTGATTTAGTGCCAGAATAAAATTAAAAGTCGATGTCACTTGCACTTTTCAATCATTTTGCATCAAATTTTATTTTCAAATAACGAATAATTCTATTAAAACATTTATAACTATTCTTATCCAACAGTGTTCTGCCACCTGTGGGAAAGGTACTAAGGAACGCTATGTTAGCTGCCGCGATCTCCAAGGTGGAGTGGCTGATGAATCAGCTTGCTCACATCTGTCAAAGCCACCATCTAGAGAAGAGTGTATTGTCATCCCATGTGGACGCTGGAAGACTCATGAGTGGACTCAGGTTAGAAATAATGGCTTCCCTCATATCACGGCTGCAAATCCACATACAGGAAGCAACGTATTTTATGCACTTGTGACTCTGGTAAAATAAAGTTCTGCTTCATTTAGATTCCAATTTTTGAAGGACATAAGTCATTGAGTGCAACAACAAATATGGTCAAAATCCACAGAGCACAGTTGAATGTTTTGATTAATGCCTGTGTATCTTCAACAACACTTACCTTGTAACTATATAGTGTGTTGCACTGAGCTACATGCAAACAATAAAATGACATGTCTGCTTCTGGAAAACAATGCAACGACTGCAATACACTGTCTTAATCCAAGAACACTTTCACAGTTAGTTTCACAGTTCTATTTTTCTGTGTTTGATTTTCCATAAATTTAACCTTTGATTAACATAGAGGGTGTTGGAGAAACTCAAAAGGTCTGGCAGCATCTATGGAAAAAGAAACAGAGGTAAAGGTTTTGTATCTGATATGAATCTTTCTCGGCAGCATTCCAGCATTCAGGATTCTCTATATTTGCTTCATATTTCCAGCAGCCACAGTATTTTGCTTAAATTTTGATTAGTTTGTGTGGCTGACTTTCTGTAAGGAACTTCTGTATTTTAATTACTATAATTTTGGCACTGCAATCCAGAGTAGAGGGTGTGAATACAAACCTCACCTGGAGCAGCTTTTATTGACATGGAACAGCAGGACAAAGATAAAGAGCATTTTGGAGCAAAATTGTCTTTCTTGGAAATAAAACAGTTTATGGGAATTGAGAAATGTCCAGTCTCGGGGAACTTTCTCAATTTTCAACAGAAATCCTTCAAATATTCAACGTGTGAGGAAGCATCTGTGGAGAGAGAAATGGAGCTTAAAGAAAATGCTGCTGAGAAGAACAGAGGATTAAGCAGCAAAAACAACAAGTCTCGTTGCTGGGTTTCTTGGGCAGAGTTGAGTGAGTATTAAATGGACTCCTAGCGGTGGTAGGCCTGGAGTGTGGACTGTTGGTGGTGTCAGACAGCAGCAGAGCCAGAGTCTCCTGGGGCATCAGTGTCATCAGTGCTGTTCCTGGAGTGGGACTCCTTGAAGACTGGAACACCTTGCAGAGACCTTGCAGAAGCCCTGAAACTGTGCTTGAGACCCAATTTGACCAGAAGATGAACGCAAAATGGCACCAGCTTGTGGTGACAAAACACTTTTCACTGTCTTATCAAGATATGTGACAATAAAATCAAATAATTGAATAATAATTCAAAAAGTGTCTCACTATTTCTTGGTAAGTTTATATAAATCAAAATCTCCACTATTCCATCCAGCTGCCCACAACAAAAAAAGATATATATATCCTTTGCAAATGTAACATTGAATTTTTATTTTGAAGTTGTTACCTATCAGATTTGCAAAAGTATCAGCGCAAATATCCAATCAAAAGCTCTTTCAGCTCATGAAAGCATATATTAAATCAAATAATCAGGAAATGTCAGAGCACTGAAATGAATTATTATATGGGAATTAGAAATGAGCATCTAATCCCTCTATTCTCTAGCAGTTATCCAATTCTATTATGAAATAATTCATGGACTGGTCCTCGACAGTGATTGTGAGACAACAAGGTGCAGGGCTGGATGAACACAGCAGGCCAAGCAGCATCATAGGAGCAGAGAGGCTGACGTTTCAGGCCTAGACCCTTCATCAGAAAAGGGGGAGGGGAAGGGGTTTCCGAAATAAATAGGGAGAGAGTGGGAGGCGGATAGAAGATGAATAGAGGAGAGGATAGATGGAGAGGAAACAAACAGGTCGAAGAGGCGGGGATGGGGCCAGTAAAGGTGAGTGTAGGTGGGGAGTTAGGAAGGGGATAGGTCAGTCCAGGGAGGACGGACAGGTCAAGGGGGCGGGATGAGGTTGGTCGGTAGGAGATGGAGGTG